CTGAATAGGTTGGTTTGCCAGGTTTTAATCAAATAAGTCAACTCCTTGAGTAAGTTAACTACTATTCTTTAGGCTGTATTTTACCATCTTTGTGATTAACTTTGAGAAGACTAAGGCCATAATTACAGATCTGATTTATCTGCTCCCAAAGTAACTCTATTTCTTTATGAGGAACAGATTAGGAAGGATCTCTTATTTTAGTTATCTTTTTTTTTTTTAATGGGGGGTGGGGGAGGATGAACAAGTCAAGCCGGGAGGAGGGTCAGAGAAAGAGAGGGAGAAGCAGACTCTGTTGAGCAGGAAGCCCGATGGGGGGGCTTGATCCCAAGACCCTGAGATCACGACCTGAGCCGAAGGCAGACATTTAACCGACTGAGCCACCCAGGCACCCCTAGTAATCTTTTAACTTGCATGATTTTAAGCTGTAACTGCTCAGTCACTTTTAAAGACTAAAAAGAGCTCTGGCCGAGGAGAAGAGAGAAAAAAGCAAATTCTTAAAGTTCTCAGTAAAACACAGAACTGTCAAAATTCAGTATAATTCACCATGTGTGTAAAATACTACTAACTGTAGGACTACATTAATCACAGCACTGTTTGCACAGCAAATTTTGGAGATAATCTAAAAGTCAGCAATAAGCAATCAGTTAAATTAAGGTCTAATAGCACAGTTTCACAAAGAACCCCTCTAAAAAAATGAGTCACCTCAAAGATAAAATGGGGGAGGAGATTAAGGTATCTGCATTGGGAGGAGGGGACTAGGCCTAATACATACATACTAAATCTCTCTGGTCTTTCTGGAAGAATACACAATAAAAATAATGATTGTCTGGCAGGCACCTGGAATGCTGAAGGGCAGATGAGAGAGTAACTTTCTCTATGTACCCAGTAGAACCTTTCAAACGCTGCACTCGGGTACTTCCTATTAGACAAAATAAAAAACTGATTTATTTTTTAGCGAATTAGAGATTAACTTCTAGCTCAGAAATTAACTTTTAGCTCAATGATTTAGACAGAATCTAAGCAATAACAATATCAAATTATGATACAGAATAACTCTGCTAAAAACTTTCTTCCAGAGATTGAAGCACACTCATTCATTCATTATTTCAGTGCCCATTACATCCTCTGGGTATTAGAGCAATGCCCAAGTCATCTAAGAATCCCTGCTTTTGTGGAGCTTTAGTAGGAGCAGAGATAAAGAGTAAATAATGTAACTTCAAATACTTTTAAATGCTACAGAAAGAAGAGGAGGAAATATGGGAATGAAGAAGAACTATAAGGGAGGGGAAGAGGAAAACTGTTTTGGGATAACTGAGGTAGACTTCTCTGAGGATGACGTGTGAGCCAAGAACTAAACGATATGCCAAAACAAGCAATGCAGTAAACAGAAGGAAAGCCCTGTCACTGGAACAAACTTAGCCTCTTATTCTTCAGACAGAGCAAAGCAACAATGTGGTTGCAGAAGAGTGACCCAAGGACAGACATGCAGGAGATGACCACAGAGGCAAGCAGATTCAAGGAAGGCCTTGTAACTACAGGAGAAAAAGTCAAGATTGTATTCTAAGTGTGATGGAGAACCTTTGTACAGTTCATGGGAGTGACATGATCTGTATTTTTAAAAAGTAACACTAGCTGCTGCTTAGGAGCAGCTGTATTAGGAGACTGCTGTATTAGGAGACTAATACAGTAGGCTAGGCAACAAATGATGGAACTGAAGAGTGGTTTCAGAGAGACAGGTAAATGTTGCTGATTAAGGATATATTTTGAAAGCTGACGCCCTAGGGGATTTGCTAGTGGATTGTATATGGGAATCTGAGTGAGACAGTAAATGAGTGAATAGAAATTCAAAAAAATCATTTTATATTTGTATAGTTATTCATAGTTATCAAAGTATATTTACACACATTGTCATTTCATAACAAGAAGCAGGGAAAGGTCACACCTGGCCAAGATCTGAGTTCTGTCCCTTGCCAGTTTTAAGAATTTAGGAAAGTCATCTGAATGGGTTTCTAGACTATGTAAGGTAGTCTACTTCACAAGATCAAGAGCTACAAGTATCAAATGATGTAAGACTTTCATAAAGGCAGGAGCACCTGGCTGGCTCTGTCGGTAGAGTATGCAATTCTTGATGTCGGGGTTGTGGATTCAAGTCCCACACTGGGTGTAGAGATTACTTAAAAATAAAACCTTGGGCGCCTGGGTGGCTCAGTGGGTTAAAGCGTCTGCCTTTGGCTCAGGTCATGATCCCAGGGTCCTGGGATCAAGCCCCCCATTGGGCTCTCTGCTCAGCAAGGAGTCTGCTTCCTCCTCTCTCTCTCTGCCTGCCTCTCTGCCTACTTGTGATCTCTCTCTGTGTCAAATAAAATAAAACTGTTAAAAAAAATAAAAATAAAACCTTAAGGGGCACCTGGGTGGCTTGGTGGGTTAAGCCTCTGCCTTCAGCTCAGGTCATGATCTCAGGGTCCTGGGATCAAGGCTCAGATTGGGCTCTCTGCACAGCAGGGAGCCTGCTTCCCCCTCTCTCTGCCTGCCTCTCTGCCTACTTGTGATCTCTGTCGAATAAACAAATAAAAATCTTTAAAAAATAAAAAATAAAGCCTTAAAAAATTTTTCTGCAAATGCAAATAATGACCAGTTGGCAGTGAACAGCATCCTATCAATAGCTGTCCAATGAAAGAGGTGTGTTCGTTCAATTCAGGACAGCACAGCTGCCTACCCAGCACCACCACCACCACCTATTCCAAAAAAAAATTTGATTAAAAAACAAACATTTTGGGTGGGTTGCTCAGTCAGTTGAACGTCCAACTCTTGGTTTCGGCTCAGGTGATCTTTTGGGTCTTAGGAACCAGCCCAGCCTGGGACTCCGTACTCTGTGGGGAAATTGCCTGAGAGTCTCTCCCTCTGTCCCTCCCCACCCCCACTCAATCCACACACATTCTCTCAAATAATCTTTAAAAAATTTTTTTTCACGGATTATGGGAAAATATACATAATTCAAGAATAGCACTAGAAAACACATTATAGTCTTGTAATATTTCCTAGGGACTGGAGAAAACAGTTAACTTAAGTATAAACATTAAAGTAAAACCACCTAACTTTTCCAAGATAAAACCCAAATGAAGTCTCCTTTTTATCAAAGAAGTGCTATCAACAATATACTGTAAAATTAAGACCATATTTACAAATTATCACTGTCTTGGTTAAAATACTAAAATGAAATACCTAGTGTAAACTAAATTGTGTGCCAAAACTGAATTATGAGGACTTCAAATCACTGCCATGAAACATTTCTGTAGCTTTACTAAACAAAGTTTCACAGGATTATTTGTTCATCCAAGGCTTTCATATTACTGCACATGATGTCCAGAATCAAGCAAAACTGGAAAAAATGTTAAACCTATTTCATTACGTATTTTGGAGAATTATTAAGAATGTCAATTTGTATTATGTGGTCAATAAATAACCTGAATACAGGAAACAAAAATTTGAAGACATCTGGTGTACGTCTAGAGCCCCCATGTCTCATTTTCAACTGAGGCTTCAATAAACATGACTGGGGTCATATGAGGAAAACCACATTGTAAGGACCATTCAACGCATACAGCAATTTAACTGCCTTGGACAAAGTCTGAGACAAATCCTTAATACAATAAATTTTGCACTATGAAAGTTCACATTAGACTGCAGCACGCAATGACAATCTACGCTACTTCTCTAATTTCTAAGAATTTCTACCTTATAAAAAGTCTTATTTCTCCAAATCACGCAACTCTAGGTCAGAGACATCTGCCCAACTCAAGTATATGTAAGCTGCAGAAAGCACGGCACAATACATCACCCATTAAAAGACCTTGGACTTTTATGCATCTCCCCCCAAACTTTAGAACAAGCTAGATTAAATACACGTTCACCAGGTTATATCAAGGAAATGATGCTGCAATTTAGTCACTTTAACTCGCTTATTAAGCAACACAGAGGTTCAACTAAAATCTTCATTAAAAACGACAAGAAATTTCAAGGTTCTGTTTTTATGTACTGCAAGAAATACCGCACGTCTGAGGACCTGATATTACATAAAAAATTTACAAAACCAGTATGTCCATTTTTCATAGTTCCACATATATTTGCCAAAGTATAGTACTCATAAAGAGCCGAGAACAGTTTAAACATTAAAGTGCATAAAATCGAGAAGCAAAGTATTTCACCAAGTCCCCCTAACATGCTCTGCCGCTCCCCCAATGTTGTGTTAAACTATTTCCTCTTGAGCAGAAACCGCTCTCAAAGAGTTTGCCAACCAGAGTAAAATCACTTCACACAGATAACGAGCGGAAACCTATTTAGAAGAGAGGAGATCACGAAAGCGAAGGCAGCAGGGAGCGCAGCCCCAAGTCTCCGGACCCCGGCAGCCTGCGGCGAACATGTGCCTACGGCGGCAGGACGCGCGGCCCTCCCGGAGCCGCCTCCCGGGGCTCAGGGCCCCGCCCGGCCTCACTCTCCTGGTTCATTCATTCTGAACCCGGGGCTTCCGCACCCCCGCGCTCACGCCCGGCCCGAGAGGAGGCTCCAGGGCCGAGGACCTACGACCGGCCACAACTCCCGCCCGGAGTCCGGGCCCCGCCGCGATTCGCGCGCGCCCGCGGCCTCCTCCCGGGTGGTCTGAGGCCGCGGAGGCCCGCGCGGGCCCGCGCCCAAGACTAAAGCCCCGCAACCCCGCGGCCCCACCCTCCGCCAGGGTGCAAGCCAGGCCTTCCCCGCCCGCTGGGCGGCCAACGGGAAGCCCCCGGTCCCCGCCGCCCCGTTGCCCCACCGCGGCCGGAAGTCTCTCCGGAGCCCCCTCCCCAGAGCCTGACTTCCCTAGCCGACACGGCCAGACCCTCTCCGCGCTGGCCTGGGGCCTCCCAACGCGGGCCGCGGGCCTGAGGAAGCGAGGAGCCGCGCCGCCGGGTCCGCCGAGCGGTCAAGAGCAGAGCGCAGAGCCGGGGGTTGGCCTGGGCGGTTACCTTGATAATCCTGCGGGGCAGCCCGGCCATCTTGTCAGATCCCGACTTCGGCCTCTGGTCTCGACTCTGGCTCCGCTCGCCTCACGCACGAGTGGAAGTCCAGAGCTCCACTTCCGGGGGACGTTGCCGCGCCCGCCGCCGCCGCCGCCGCCGCCGCCGCCGAGGCCCCTTGGGAAATGTAGTCCCTGCTCGGGCGCGGGCGGGCTTCTCTAGGACCTGGCCCCCTCCCCCGCCCCAGCCCCGGCCTGGGGTTGGCGGAAGTGACGAGCCCCAGCGGGGCAGGGACTTGAGGGAGGAGGCGCGAGGCGGCGCGGAGCTCCGGCGCTCGTGGCCGAGCCCGCCGCGCGACGGTGGGATTACGCGGCCGGCGCCCCACAGGCCTTTTACCGCGGCCACGCCTGCGCCAGTGGGCGACGTAACAGAGGCCCGGCGGCGGGCGCAGCCCATTCATTCATCCGTTCATTTGTTCGTTCATTCAACGTTTCTACGTTGCGCGCGGGCCACAGCGGGGAACGACTCCGGTTAAGTGGAGCCGGGGCTCCTTCCTCAAAGGGAGGTGGAAGATTGAAACTCAGTAGCCATAGTCCTGAATGGGGATCTCGGAATTTATCCAGGGAAACCCTAGTCATAGAGTTATGATATTTAAATTTTGATTTTTAAATTTCATGTAAATCGGGCTCCTTAAGCCCAGAGAAGGCTGAGAGAAAGGATCTGGAGAGAGTTGGGAGGCAGGGAATTGGCTTCTGAACGCAGAGCTGCTAGCTGGAGGAATGACCGAGGACAGGATTAGAAAGCCCAGAGAAATCCCTGAGAGAGGGATTACCCATGGCACGCAGGGCCCTAAAAGAAGATTAGAGTGGCGGTGCTTGAAAATGGGATTGTTGGAGAAGCATTTTGTCACATTTGTCACTGCTTGCTTGCTCTGGGATAGGCTTTTCGCAGGCATTATTTTATTTCATAGCAATCTTAAGAAGATATCTCTACAAATGAGGCTCAGAAATGCCAACTAGCTTTTTCCAAGATTATCCTGGAGAAAATGGAGCTGTTTTGACCCCGAGGAAGTCTCTCAAAACATGGACCCCTTAACTGCTTGACCACAGTGTTTCCTAGCAGAGGACACATAGTAGATTGAGTAAGGATGTGCCAGGTGCTGTGTTGGTGGGTGAGAATGCAGAGACAACACTGACTGCTTTCCAGTCCAACAGAGAAGAGAGACAACGAATTAATTTATTTATTAACCCAGTGTGTTAAGGGCTGTAGTAGAGGTTCCTCCAAGGCGCTTTTGGAGCCCAGAGCCCAGGCATTAGTTGATTGAGAAGTCAGAAAAGTCCTTCCCAAAGGAGAAGAGTTGCCCTCAAGGATTAATAAGACTCTAACTGACCTGGTAGGGAAGAGCATGTCAGATACAGGAAATAGCCCATAAAATGGCATTGGACTACAAGAAAAAAAGAAAAATTATGTGTCTCTCTCTCTATATATATACATATAGTATCTGTATATATATGTATGTATGTGTCTATATATGTATGTATATTGTGTCTGTGTGTGTATATATGTGTGTGTATATATTTGTAGACACATTGCATTAAAGAAATGGAGACTATGAATGCAAGAAACCTAATAAAAATAGTAAGAGTTATTTTGTGCTTGGCACAGTGCTAAATGATTACATGGATTGTCTCCACTAACTATAAAGCTCATGAGGTAAGTTCTCTTATTACCAGTGCTTTTGAGATGAGAAACCAAGCCTCAGAGGTAATAATGAGAACCTCACATAACCAAGAGTCTGAAATAAGTGGCTTCGTGATTAGAAGAATCTGAGAAAATAAATGACATTGGACAAGGATGCTTTCAGAATATTTTCCAGGAGAATTCACCCTAATAAGAAGAAAGGCAGAGTAACTATTAGGTTAAAAGTGTGCTATTGTTGCTTAACAAACCAGCTCATACTGTTTAAAGCAACAACAGTCAGTTACTGAGCTCTTGAATCTTCAGTTTGGGCAGGGCTTGGCAGGAAGGCACATCTTTGCTCCGTGCTGTGCTGTGTCAGCCTGGGCAGCCTGACTGGGCCTCGATCCACTTCCAAGATGGCTCACATAGCTGGCGAAGCTGGTGCTGGCTATTAGTCTCTCTCTTAGTGGGCCTCTCCCTGGAGCAGCTTTGGCTTTCTCTCCACCTGGTGGCTGGGTTCCAAGAGTGAGTGAGTGTTCTAGCTAGCAAAACCAGAAGCTGAATGGTCTTTTTGACCTAGCCCTGGAAGTCACATAGCATCACTCCCACTATAACTATTGGTTGACTAATCACAAAAACCCACCCAGTTTCAAAGGTATGGGGCATAGAATCCACCTCTTGAAAGGGGAGTGGAGAGATTCTAGAAACTGGCATAGTTTGTGTGTGATGGAAGATACGGTTGTGGCCAACTTTGGAAAACAAGCTGTCACAGGTGCGACATTTGTCACTATGCTTACAGCCAACTGGCTTAGTGTCACCTGCCTGTGACTCGTAAGCAGTGGTTAAAATAAACATGCCTGGCTGGAGTCCTTCTCTCAGAGATTTTCTCTAAGTCAGTGCCAAGGCCTGGGAGTCTGCATTAAAATATGTGTACTTTTGATGGATCCTAGAATTTGAGAACAAAGATTTTGAGTAAACAATGATGTATTTAAAAAAAAAATGTTGCCACATGCCTTCTCTTGGCTCTTCTCTATTAGGATAGATGGGTATCATGCAAATTAAGAGTGAGGGAGCCCTAGTCTAGGTTTGAGAACTTAAACATTTGCTGTCCTTCATTTTCTTCACCTATGAAATGTATATACTTCATGTGATTGTTGTGAAGTTTAAATGAACACCACATAGCACTTAGCACGGACTATTATTTTCATAATCTTCATAGAACCAGGTATAGTTTTCCTTAGGAAACCAGATTTTCAAAACATGACAGTATAACTTTGGTGGAGACTATTTGAAGGCATGAAACACTCAAGAATATTAATGATAAAATATATTTTTGCAAGTCTCTTCTAGTTGTTTTTCCCATTCTTTTCCCCCTTGAGAACAACTCACACTATACTCATCTGGAAAACAAAATCCGAACTTCTGATTCATGTAAGTTCTGTAGAACAGGATATCGTTTTAGAAGGACAGGTTGCCACAGGATCAAGATGAAGACTAATTCTTAAGTTAGAAATCTAGTTAATAATCCTTACTCTAGGGGCACCTGGGTGGCTCAGTGGGTTAAGCCTCTGCCTTCGGCTCAGGTCATGGTCTCAGGGTCCTGGGATCGAGCCCTGCATCGGGCTCTATGTTCAGCGGGGAGCCTGCTTTCCCCTCTCTCTGAATACTTGTAATCTCTATCAAATAAATAAATAAAATCTTTTAAAAAAAAAAAAGAATCCTTACTCTAGGGATGCCTGGGTGGCTCAGTCGTTAAGCATCTGTCTGCCTTGGGCTCAGGTCATGGTCACAGAGTCCTGGGATGGAGCCCCACGTGGGCTCCCTGATCGGTAGGAACCCTGCTTCTCCCTCTCCCACTCTCCCTGCTTGTGTTCCCTCTCTGTGTCTCTCTCTGTCAAATAAATAAATCTTTATTTATTTATTTATAATAAATAAATTTATTATTTATTATAATAAATAATGTTTATTATAAATAAATAAATTATTTATTTAAATAAAATAAATCTTTATTTTTTTATTTTATTTTTTTATTTTTATTTTTTTATTTAAAAAAAAAGGATTGCAGGAGGCTATTTTTTAAAAAAAGAATTCTTACTTTAAAATATGGATTTAAAAAAAGGAAACCCACCAAACTCATTGAATCAATTCCCTCAGGGAGGGGTGTCAGGTATTGGAGAACAGAGGTAAAAGAAAGACATTTTACTCACACTCTTGTACCTGTTAGATTTTGGACTATATGAATGCATTACCTATTTAAAACATTAAATAATCTAATTCACTAATTTCAATAGCCTTAAGAAATTCTTAAAGTTCTTTCAATGCTGATCAAGGATAATACTACACACTCAAAACTCAGCAAGAAGATCCTGGTCCATGATATCGAATAAAAGATAGTGATCAGATAGCTCTATTAAGTTGAATAGTGCTAGGCAGAATTCTTAGCTAATTGATATTTAGCTTTTTGTCAGGCCTCACAACTATGTTTTTGTTTTTTCCCAGTCTCTGCTCCTTCCAGAATTCAAACTGCAAGTGCCCTTCCATTATGATATAGGGAGGGAATCAGCAAGAATGCTGTGCTGGAGGAATTAGAAGAATTCTATTCCACAACAAGCTCTTACTCCCAGAACACTAGTTTATTTCATCCTGTTCCTTCCCTACCCCCAACCCCATCCCCAAATATTCCAGGTTAGTTACTGTGATCTTAAACTAGCAGATTCATAAGTACTATTTACCCTGCAGGTAATATCTTGGGACATTTCATACCTGAGCTCCTCCACATTATGGATGTCTTCCATCTTGGTCCCCAGGGTACCCCTGAGGCCTAGCTCAGGGCCTGCTCTATGATAGTTCTCAAAAAAATATTTGTCAAGGGAATGAGCCCATAACTGCAGGGGAAAAATAAACACCTCCTTGAGAATAGATTACATAGGTTCACGATCGATAAGTGAATGCTTACAGAAACCAAAGGATGTTCACGTTCATCCCTAAACATCTCAACTTCCTGAAGGGCAACTGTTTGTTTTCAGCAACTGTCTTGTGCTTTGCAGAGACAAAATAGAGTAGATGAGTTTGGAAAATCCTGGCTCAGTCATCTCAAAGAGAGGCCCTGTTTCAATTCAGGCGGGTAGTCATGCGGCAGAACTATTGTTTGGAAGTACCCTTATTGTTTCTTGCAGCATGAGAAAACCGTTTCGTGGGCGATCAAGACAGGAGTATCTGTGAGAAGAGAGTTCACGAACACTGACTCAGGGAGGAAGTGGGTAGGGGAAGAAGAAAAGGCGCACGCTGATTTAAAAGAAGAAAGGAGGGGTGCCTGGGTGGATCAGTCGGTTAAGCGTCTGCCTTTGACTCAGGGCATAGTCCCAGGGACCTGAGCCCCAGGTCAGGATCCTGGGGTCCTGGGATTGAGCCCTGCGTCAGGCTTTCTGCTCAATGTGGAGTCTGCTTCTCCTCCCTCTGCCTGCCTCTGCC